TACCTGCAGATATTTCTGACTTTTCTCCATTCAAAACCATGCTGTCTGTGGATAATGTCTGTGAATAATCCATAGCTGGTTATTTATTTTTCTTGAGTTGGAGTCAACTGGATGGAACTAACAACAACAATGTCCTTTTCAGGTTATGCTGGTCTCATAAAATGAACTGGGAAGTATTCCCTCTTTATTCTTAAAAGAGTTTGTGGATGATTGGTGTTATTTCTTCTTGAAATGTTTAGAAAAATTCACCAGTGGGATCATACGGACCTAAAGTTCTCTTTGTAGAAAGAACTTTAATTATAAATGAAATTTATTTTGTAGATCTAAGACTACTTGGATTTATTATCTCTTCTTATAAAAATTTTGGGAACTTCATTTCATCTAAGTTTTCAAATTTATTTGCATAAAATTTATTCTTAATGTACTTGTATTCTCTTTTTAATATCTGTGGGATCTGTAGTGATGTCTGCCTTCTCATTCCTGTTATTGAAAACTTGTGTCTTCCTTCTTTTTTCCCTGGATATATGTTGCCAGAACTGCACTTAGGCCCTATTTTAAAGCTCTCCAGGTGAAACCATATCTATCTAGACCAGCATTTTAAAACACTGGACGAGACATTGAGCTTCCCTGGCGTAGGAAACTGTCATGGGCCAGAGTGTGCCAGGCACTATGTATTTGTTGAATGAAGGCAGGGGGAGGAGGAAAGGGGGCAGGGAACATTCAGTAGGAAAGCCAGAATTCCTAACTCCTCAGGAATCAGACCCTGTAATCCAATCAGAGCAATCCTGGCTTCTCCCTGGTGCAGCAACCAGTCGCCTTGCAGGAAGTCTGTGCATTTCTGAGTGATTTTTGCTTTTCTTAAAGATAAGGCTAAATTTACATTAATGCCAGTCTTACCACTCAGGAATTGCCCTTGGCTGGGAAGCTGAGCCTTCCCTGAGTGCCTTAGCCCCTATTTTCTTGGTGTCTCATTACACTCGATAAGGAAAATGCCTATTCTAGGAGCACCGTTGTGATACTCTAAAGAATAGGAATTCTGAATCCCACCCAGCCCATTCTGCATGACCCCATTTCTGAAGAAATACTACCTGGTCAAATCAAGTCTTTTTTTTCCTTCCTCTTTTGTTCATTTTTTGATGGATCAAAATCAGGTCACCCCAATACCAAGATATGACGTGGTGGTTGGGGTGGAGGTGGGTTCTGAATTGGCCCTAGAGGACACTCTCATCTCTCTTTTCCCATAGAATTGGGTCTTTCATCTCTGAGTCTCGTGCTCTCTTTCCTTCCCTCATTTTCTCTTTTTTCTTCTCTACTTTCCCTTTCTTTTCTTCAGTTCCTCTTTATCTGGAAAATGAAGGTTCCTCATACTTTGGAAGTGGGGATGGTGGCGAGGGGTGCATTCACTAACATCATCTTCCCCTGGTGTTCACAGGTTGTTTTTGCAATAGAATGTAGCTGAGAGGATTCTCTGGCCACATTCGAGGATTTATTGTTGCCTGTGAAGGGAGGAAGCTTATGAAATACCGGGCAGAGATCCTCCTGCACCCATCAGGCTCCCTAGATCATGCTGATGGGGCCGCAGGGGAAGATCTGGGCCTGAGGTAGGGGGTCTGAAAGCCCTCTGCCCTCCCCTCAGAGAGGAGCATGTGGCCCTCTCAGCCCCACCCCTACTCCCACCCCCACCCCCAGTGTTGGCTCTCTGGCTGACAGCAAAGTCCAGATGCTTATCTGAGGAACAGGTTTCTCTTACTCCCTGTGTGGCCCCTTGTGGGTCATAACCTTTACCTCCTTTGTTCTAGGGCCTGCTTTTGCTCAGGAGAGATTTTTTTAGATGGCCACCCTGGACTGAGGTAACCTTTCCAATTGCCTCCCCCACGCCAGGATCAGTCAGATGTGTGCACCCCCCACCCCCGGATGTGTTGGGGGAGAATCCGTCAGCCTGCCTCATGCTGGCCTCCAAAGTCAGGCAAGGGCTGGTCGGTCCAGGCCAGCCCAGGAACGAGCAGAGCAGGATAGAAAGATTTTCCTTGTTCCCGCTCCCCGCATACCTCTTCCTTCTTTCCTTTCCCTTTGCTGTGGGAAGGTCTTTCCCCTTCCCCTCACCTCCCAACCACGGATGCCTACAGGCCTGGTGCTGACTGCCCTGTTCACCTACCAAAATTCTTCAGGAGAAGAAAGCCACTTACACCTGGTCCGAGGTAGCACTACAGGAGGCAGGACTCCTGGGAAGAGGCCTGTCCTCAGTGATGGTCATTTGACTTTCTGGAAAGTTCCAGTCCACTATGTGAGGTAACAATGCTTTTAAAAGCCCCCTGGGACAATCCCTTCCACGTTGTGTCAAGGAGCCTTGGCAGCACAATGGTTAAGTGCTCACCTGCAAGTTGAATGGTAGGCGGTTCAAACCCACCAGCCACTCTGCCGGAGAAAGATGTGGCAGTCTGCTTCTGTACAGATTTACAGCCTTGGAAACCCCGTGGGGCAGTTCCACCTTGTCCTGTAGGGTCGTTGTGAGTCAGAATCGACTCCATGACACATAACAATACTGTGTCAGGGCCAAAGGTGTGTCGTATCTTCTCCCTCCTCACAATTCAATGGGGAGGGGAGGTGGCAGTGGCAGCTTTTGACCTTGCTACAGTGAATACCTTGGGTCTTTGAAATGGTTTGAAACATGGCATTTGATACTTTCAGGCAGGGTTGCTGGCCAACTCTCACCACCCTGAAGTCCCCCCGCAGCCCTGACCAAGGGAACCCAGAGGGCCAATCTGCCTCCGGGCCCGACACTGCCAGCTGGGCCCGTGGACACGTTAGTTCAGCTGAGGAAAACATCTGCTCACCTTGTAAAGAACAGGAGAAGGACCCACAATAAACATGAAGGAAGTGATTGGAAGTGACAGGAGGCCGTTTGCTGCTTTACATAGGCAACCCTGCTTTTAATGAGAAACACCACCAAAAACACAGGAAGGGTACCATCCACCCCACCAGGATGGCTATGATCAAAAAAACAGAAAACAGTGGGTGTTGGTGAGAATGTAGAGAAATTGGAACCCTTGTGCATTGCTGGTGGGAATGTGAAATGGTATAGCCGCTGTGGAAAACACTTAGGTGTTTCCTCGAAAAACTAAACATAGATCTACCATGTGGCCCAGCAATTCCACTCCTAGGTGCCTACCCAAAAGACTCGAAAGCAGGGACTCAAATGAATACTTGTTTGCCAATGTTCATTGCAACACCATTCACAGCAGCCAAAAGGTAGAAACAAACCTAAGCTTCCATCAACAGATGAATGCATACACAAAATGTGATCCAACCATACTATGGAATATTACTCAGCCATAAGGAGAAATGAAGTGCTGATACACGCTACAACATGGATGAACTTTGAACATTACATGCTGAGCCAAATAAGTCAGACACAAAAGGACAAATATTGTATGACCCCGCTTACGTGAAACATCTAGAATAAGAAAATGTGTAACCAAAAACAAACATACCAACCCACTACCATCAAGTCGATTCCAACCCTATAGGACAAAGTAGAAGCCTTATAGAGTTTCCAAGGCTATAAATCTCTACAGAAGCAGAGCCACTGGTAGTTTTGAACTGCCGACCTTCTAGTTAGCAGTTGATCACTTTAACCACTGCACCAGCAGGGCTCCTTATGGAAAATGTAGAGACCAAACTTTATGAGTGGTTTTCAAGGACAGGTAGGAAAAGGAAGGGGGAGTCTTTGCTGAAGGGGCACTGAGTTTCCATTTGGGCTGACGGAAAATTTGGAAACAGATGGTGGTGATAGTTATACAACATGGCGAACGTGATTAATGTCACTGAACTGCCCATGTGAAAATGTTGAAATGGCAAATGTTTTGCTACATGTATTTAAAAAGAAAAGAAAGCACTGATGCACATTATTTAAAATCTTCTGATTCATATGAAAACAGAGTCCCATTTGTCAAAGTGTCCTCGAGAGCCCACCAAACAGCCACCGATATCCCCTTTGTTGTGAGACCTCCCCGGCCACCGGTAGAAGTGGCCACCCCTGCTCCCCGGGCACTTCCGGTCCCCTCTACCTTCTTCCATTTTAACCCTTACACTCTTCTAATGCTCTGTGTAATCCACCATTTTCAGCTGTTGGCTGTCTGCCCCACTGTAGATTGTGTCTCTTTGCTCACCGCCGTATCCCTGGAGCCCAGGATTATGTCTGGCATGTAGAAGGTGCCCATTGAACATTTGTTGGGTGAACGAATGGCCTACAGCCCTTCCCAGCACCCCTCTCGGCCCCGTGTTCCTGCACTCCGCCTGCAGTCACGCCTGCCTCTTCCCGCTCCATCCAGGCCCTGGGTCTCCCTCACCTCCAGGCCTTCTGCCTCCTCGGTGGATGCCCCCTCTTCTTCCTGGCCTCAGCTGAGAAGCCACTTCCTCTGGGAAGCCTTCCAGAACCTACCGTGACCTTTCCCTCTCAGCCCTCCTGCACTCCTGGGACCTGTTGCTTTTCTGACTCCTGCAGTCACGTCCGTCTGCCTTCTTTTGTGTCCTTGGCTCGCGGCCCCATAGCTGCACAGAGTGGCACCCCCATACCCCCTGGCTTGCCCTATCCAGGCCTCCTCCTACTGGGAAAGCCCACCCTAACCTCTCCTCCCTGGGCAAAGCCTCTCAGCTTCCAGAAGACCTCATTTGCTCTGCTTGTTAATGGAGCTTTCATGGCGAGCTGGCCTCCAGAACTTTCCCCGGCAGCCCCACCAACCTGAAAATGTTAAGACAACAACTCCTTCCTCGCCCCTGGGAAGAACCTGTTTGTGGGGATTCCAGAGCCTCTTGTCACAAAGAGGCTCAGAGGTTGTTTGAGTCGGATAAAAATGGATCTGTCGGGAAACAGCGTTTACCGGGCCCGGTTCTGTGCTCGGCATGGGGCTAGAACTTGTGGAGGCTGACGAAATGCGTGTTATTCGCTCATTCTTCTGACAGATATTTTTGTGCGCTGATTGTGTGCCGGGCACTCCTAGGTGCTGAGAATACAGCAGAGAAAAAGACAGACGAGATCCCTACTTTCCTGGAGCGAAAAGACAGTAAGACAGGTAGCGGTGCGGCAGGCAAAGGAAGGGCCCAGGGGACAGGAGAGAGCCTATAACAAAGAGAATATTTTAATGATATGATTACACTGTTCAAAAGTGAAATAGCACAAGAATTTGACAGTGTAAACATATTACTGAAAAGCTGTCTCAATGGTTGAAATTTCTGACTTTCTGGTTTCCAAAGCTAAGTGCAGAATCAAAGATTTGAATTTGAATTTGAATCCTAAGATGCCACCCTCTGTCTACGTTCATTTTAAGTTTATAAATAATCTATCGGTTTTTCATAAGGGTTTATAGAGTTTACAAGTGGATGGATAATTCTTTCGTGCCTTTGTTGTTATTTCTTGATAGCGTTAAATTGTGAGAGATAACAAAGCTTGTAAGACTTCCATGGAAAAAAATAAAAAAGATGAGAGAGAGAGTTAAAGAATCCACTGCCTCCGAGAAGCTACAGTCCAGCTAAGAAAATAAATATAACTCTCCTGAGGCCGTCAGCAAACACTCGTTGAAACGCTGCAGAATCTACTGATGGGAAGTACAGATGGAAGGCCAAAAAAAAAAGAAGGATAACCAGTTGCCGTGGAGTCAACTCCCACTCATGGCACTCCTATGCATGTCAGAGGAGAACTGTGCTCCGCAGGGTTCTCAGTGTCTGATGTTTTGGAAGTAGATCACCAGGACTTTCTTCCGAGATACCTCTGGGTGGATTTGATCTTCCAACCTTTCACTTAACAGCCAAGCACATTAACAGTTTGCAGCACCAGGGACTTACCAAGGACAGGCCTGCTTTACTCTGATGAAATGTGGATGGAAAGGGATGGGGAATAGGTTCTGCTGAGAGAGAGGAGGAATTGGGAGCTTTATGAGCCTGGTGCTGAGGTCAGGAGGAAGACTTCTCCAAATAATGGAGAGGAAGTGGGTGATGAAGAAAACTGCAAGATGCTTGAGCTGAGAGTCCAATTGTGGAATAAAAATTAAATAAGTAAACTTTCTCTTCCAAGAGATTCTCCTACTGCTTCTTGTTGTTGGTAGGTGCCATCCAGTTGGTTCCGACTCATAGTGACCCCGTGTACAACAGAATGAAACACCGCCCGGTCCTGCGCCATCCTCACCGTTGTTGCTATGTTTGAGCCCATTGTTGCAGCCACTGTGTCAGTCCATCTCGATGAGGATCTTCCTCTTCTTTGCTGACCCTCTACTTTACCAAGCATGATGTCCTTCTCCAGGGACTGGTCCCTCCTGATAACATGTCCAAAGTACATGAGATGTAGTCTCGCCATCCTAGCCTCCAAGGAGCATTCTGGTTGTACTTCTTCCAAGACAGATGTGTTCATTCTTCTAACAGTTTATGGTATATTCAATATTCTTCACTGACACCGTAACTCAAAGGTATCAATTCTTCTGCGGTCTTCCTTATTCATTGTCCAGCTTTCACATGCATATAAGGCGATTGAAAATACCATGGCTTGAGTCAGGCGCACCTTAGTCCTCAAAGTGAAGTCTTTGCTTTTTAACACTTTGAAGAGTTCTTTTGCAGCAGATTTACCCAATGCTATGCAGCCTTTGATTTCTTGACTGCTGCTTCCACGGGCGTTGATTGTGAAATCCTTGACAAAGTCAATCTTTTCTCTGTTTATCATAGTGTTGCTTATTGAGCCAGTTGTGAGGATTTTTGTTTTCTTTGTGTTGAGGTGGAATCCATACTGAAGGCTGTAGTCTTTGATCTTCATCAGTAAGTGCTTCAAATTTTCTTTGCTTTCAGCAAGCAAGGTTGTGTCAGCTGCGTATCACAGGTTATTAACGAGTCTTCCTCCAATCCTGATACTGCATTCTTCCTCATATAGTCCAGCTTCTCAGATTATTTGCTCAACATACAGATTGAATAAGTGTGGTGAAAGGATTTACAACCCCGACTCACACCTTTCCTGATTTTAAACCACGCAGCATCCCCTTTTTCTGTTTGAACAACTGCCTCTTGGTCTGTGTACAGGTTCCGGATGAGCACAATTAAGTGTTCTGGAATTCCCATTCTTTGCAATGTTATCCATAATCTGTTATGATCCACACAGTCAAATGCCTTTGCATAGTCAATTAAACACAGGTAAGCATCTTTCTGGCATTCTTTGCTTTCAGCCAGGATCCATCTGACATCAGCAAAGATACCCCTCCTCATTGCACCTTCTCTTCCGAATCCAGCTTGAATTTCTGGCAGCTCTCTTATGTACCGTTGCAACTGTTTTTTAATTATCTTCAGCAAAATTTTACTTCTGTGTGATATTACTGATATTGTTCCATGATTTTCCAAATTGAGTTGGATGACCTTTCTTAGGAATAGGCATGAATATGGATCTTTTCCAGTTGGTTGGTCAGGTAGCTGTCTTCCAAATTTCTTGGCATAGACGAGTGAGCACTTCCAGTGCTGCATCGTTTATTGAAACATCTCAATTGATATTCCGTCAATTCCTAGAGCCTTGTTTTTAGCCAATGCCTTCAGTGCAGCTTGGACTTCTTCCTTCATTGCCATTGGTTCTTGATCATGTGCCACCTCCTGAAACGGTTGAACGTCGACCAATTCTTTTTGGTACAGTGATTTTGTGTATTCCTTCCATCTTCTTTTGATGCTTCCTGCATCGTTCAATATTTTGCCCATAGAATCCTTCAGAATTGCAACTCGAGGCTTGAATCTTTTCTTCAGTTCTTTCAGCTTGAGAAATACTGAGCATGTTCTTCCCTTTTGGTTTTCTAACTCCAGGTCTTTGCACATTTCACTATAATATTTTACTTTGTCTTCTCGAGCTGCCCTTTGAAATCTTCTATTCAGCTCTTTTACTTCATCATTTCTTCCATTCGTTTTATCCATTTTATGTTCAAGAGCAAGTTTCCGAGTCTCTTCTGACACTCATTTTGGTCTTTTCTTTCTTTCCTGTTTTTTTAATGACCTCTTGCTTTCTTCATGTATGATGTCCTTGAGGTCATCCTACAAGTCATCTGGTCTTTGGTCATTAGTGTTCAATAAGTCAAATCTATTCTTGAGATGGTCTTCAAATTCAGGTGTGGTATACTCAAGGTCATACTTTGACTCTCATGGACTGGTTTTAATTTTCTTCAGCTTCAGCTTGAACTTGGCGCATGAGCAGTTGATTGTCTGTTCTGCAATCAGCCCCTGGCCTTGTTCTGACTGATGATACTGAGCGTCTCCATTGTCTCTTTCCACAGGTGTAGTTAATTTAATTCCTATCTACTCCATCCGGTGAGGTCACCATGTATATCGCTGTTTATGTTGTTGAAAAAAGGTATTTCCAATGACTAAGTCGTTGGTCTTGCAAAATTCTATCATGCAATCTCTGGCTTTGTTTCTATCACCAAGGCCATATTTTCCAACTACTGATCATTCTTTATATCCAACTTTTGCATTCCAATCAACAGTAATTATTGGTGTATCTTGATTGCATGTGTGATGGTTAAGATTGTGTGTCAGCTTGGCTGGGCCATGATTCTCAGTGTTTATATGTGATCACTCCCATGATTGAATCTGCTGTGAGTAGCCAATCAGTTGAAAGGGAGTTTCCTTGGGGGTGTGGCCTGTATCCAAATATAAGCAGATATTCTGGCTTTTGCTCCCTGTGGATCCTGCGGCTGCCTCCTGTTTGTCTGACCTCCAGTTCTTGGGACTTGAGTTATCAGCTTATCTGCCAAATATGGGATTCGTCCATCTTCACAGCCTGTGCGCCGGAGCCCTGCTCTCTGACCTGCCGATCTTGTGTTCACCAGTCCCTGCAGCTATGTGAATTGGGAGAAGCCTCTATCTTGATCCACCAGCTTGGGATGTTCCAGCCTCTACAATTGCGTGAGCGGTTTCCTTGATCTAAATCTCTCTCTATATATATTTATACGATTTACTGGTTTTCCTTCCGTAGAGAACTCAGCCTAAGACAGCATGTTTGATCAATTTCAGACTGCAGAATTTGGTAGAAATCTTCAGTTTCTTCATCTTTGGCCTCAGTGTTTGGTGGTTAAATTTGAGTAATAGTCATATTAACTGGTCTTCCTTGTAGGCATGTGGATATTACCCTATCACTGACAGTGTTGTTCTCCAGGATAGATCTTGAAGTGCTCTTTTTGAAGATGAATGCGATGTCATTCCTCTTCAATTTGTCATTCCCTGCATAGTAGACCATATGACTGTCTGATTCAAAATGGCCAATACCAGTCCTTTTCAGCTCGCTAATGCCTAGGATATCCATCTTTATGCAGTCCGTTTCATTTTTAACAGCTTCAAAATTTCCTAGATCCATACTTCATACATTCAATGTTCCAGTTATTAATGGATATTTGCAGCTGTTTCTTTTCAATTTGAGTTGTGCCGCATCAGCAAATGAAGGTCCCAAAAGCTTAACTCCATCCATGTCATTAAGGTCGACTCTACTTTGAGGAGGCAGTTCTTCCCCAGTTGTATTTTGAGTGTCTTCCAAACTGAGGGGCTCATCTTCCAGCACTGTATCAGACAATGTTCTGCTGCTATTCATAAGGTTTTCACTGGCTAATTCTTTTCAGAAATAGGCCACTGGGTCCTTCTTCGTAGTCTACCTTAGTCTGGAAGCTCTGCCTTGGGTGACCCTGCTGGTATTTGAAAGCATAGCTTCCAGCAGCACAGCAAACCACAAGCCACCACAGTATGACAAACTGTAATGTTGTAATGCTGCTTGGGGTGGGGAAAATGGACATGTTTCCTTCAGAAAAAGAGAAATGGGGACTTTTGGCTTTCCAGAAAATTTGATTTGAGATGTAGTCATTCATATTTAAGAAACAGGAGAGGCTGAGTTTCAGGAGTAACTTTTGGAAAGAGAGATGTACTAGAGGCAGAGTGGATGTGCACCATGACAGGGTCAGCCCTGGGGCCTCTGACTTTGTGTCATCCCAGGTCTCAGAGGACCAGTAGTGACGGGGTGGAGGCCCTGGACAGCTGTAGTCAGGGTTGTGTGGACACTTGTCGTACATGTCATGGGCGAGGAGACCACAACACTCTGGGCCCGTTTTAACCATTTAGGGTGCGTGGGTCTCTGTTTTATTTGTCTCTATTTGTTTGTGTGCATATCATATTTTTACACAACTAATGTGTGCCTTCTATGTTTGTTTACCATTGTTTACAAGTTGCTATAAAAAAATGTAGCATAACTCACTTATGAAAATACCTCATGGGGGGAGGGCGCAGTTAGCAAACAAACGTAGTAGATGCACGTTATTTGGGTAAAAATACAGTATGTATGTATGTGAAGTGTGTATGAGTGTGTTTGCGTGAGAGTGTGTGTGTGTGTGTGTGTGGTGTTTACTGACCCTATAGGGCATGGATCTTTGGGTTTTGTCTATGTACACAAAGGGATTCAAAGAGCTAAGCAGTTATTCACTGTCATTTATTAGTAAATTCTGCAAATTCTTTATGGGGAGAAACAAAGCCAGCAAGGAGGCTGAGGAGGCATAGGAGTGATAAGAAAGTGAGGGAGTGAGGGAGTGAGCAAGAAAATGAATGAATGAGTGAGCAAGTGAATGAATGAATAAGTAAATGAGTGATTGGATTAGTGATGGGTGAGCAAACAAGTGAGTGAATGAATGAGTAAGCAATTGAATGAGTGAGCAAATGAATGAGTGATCAAGTAAGTGAATGAATGAGTAAATGAGTTAGTGAATGAATGATGGGTGAGCAAACAAGTAAGTAAATGAATGAGTAAGTAAATGAGTGAGTGAGTGAATGATGGGTGACCTTGTTAGTGAGTGAATGAAGGAGTGAGACAATGAATGAATGAGTGACCTGGTGAGTGGAGTGAATGAATGTTGGGTGAGAGAATGAGTGGGTGAGTAAAAGGATGAATGAGTGAATTAATGAGTGAGCGAGTGAATGAATGAATGGGTGAACAAATGGATGAACCAGCCAACACAGTGCTCTCAGAAAAGTCAGGGGCAATGAACCCAAGGCATTTCCTTCTCTGGTGCTTCTTGCTTGAGGCTGTTCGTCCTGATCTCCGAGTCTAAGACTTGTCAGCGATGGTCACTTAGTTAGATGACGCCCCCACACACATCCACACCTGGCTCTTCATCTCAGGCCACTCATGCAACAGTGTGATTTCCCACTTGCAAGATGGTAGGGTAGACAGCTGACCGGCGCTGTGAACATAGGAGCCGTTGGGGACGCCATTAAGGGGTCCAAGGGTATTTCTTTTTGGTGTGGACGTAGTTCTCTTCCTCCTCCATTTAAAAATTTCTGTAACCAGCCGTGTAACCTGATCTGTTTTGTAATTTTAAAGACTACTCTGGCAAAATATTTTAGGAAGTTGCCTCCTATTGGCACTTAGGCAAAGATGCCCTTCTCTAAATTTGTACTGTCCAGATAAACCTGATACATTGGCCATCTGTCCTGAATTAATAAATACATTAATAAAATTAAAATAATACATCAATAAAAGGCTCTAGTGGAAGCCTGATGACAAAGACAATTGGTGTCCATTGCAAAAATCTTAGAAAACACAGAAAAATATAAAGCAGAACATAAAAGCCATCCAATCCATTTTTCCTTAAATAACAGCAAAGGGCTCTGATGCTCAGCTGTCCAGTATGGCCGCCACTGGCCACATGTGGCTTTGAGCACTTGATCGTGACCAGTCTGGACGGAAATGTGCTCTGAGTGGGAAATGCACACTGGGTTTCAAAGACTTCATACAAAAAAAAATGCCAAATATCTTATTAATAATTCTGTATTGATTACATGTTGAAATAAGGCCCCTGGGGGGCCCAAAGTATCATGTTCTCAACTACTGCCCAAAAGGAAGACAGTTCGAACCCACCCAGAGGCATCTGGGAAGAAAGGCCTGGCAATCTGCTTCCGAAAGTTCACAGCCTTGAAAATTCTATGGAGCAGTTCTACTCTGCACACGAGGTGGCCATGAGTCGGAATCGACTCCACAGCAACTATCGACAGCAACATGTTGAAATGGTAATGTTTTATATATTGTTGTTTTTAGGTGCCGTCGAGTTGGTTCTGACTCATAGCGACCCCGTGTACAACAGAATGTTAACACTGCCTGGTCCTGCGCCATCCTCACAATCGTTGTTATGCTTGAGCCCATTGTTGCAGCCACTGTGTCAATCCATCTCATTGAGGGTCTTCCTCTTTTCCTCTGACCCTCTACTTTACCAAGCATGACGTTCTTCTCCAAGGATTGGTCCCTCCTGATAACATGTCCAGAGTATGTGAGACACAGTCCTGTGATCCTTGCTTCTAAGGAGCATTCTGGCTGTGCTTCTTCCAAGACAGATTTGTTCGTTCTTCTGGCAGTCCATGGTATGTTCAATAGTCTTCACCAACACCACTGTTAGAATGCATCAGGTCTTCTTTTGTCTTCTTGGTTCCTTACCCAACTTTTGCACACATAGGAGGTGACTGAGTGCTGCTCCTCAGGGTCCAGTAACTTCCTCCTTTGTTATAAAGGCAAGCCCCATCCAGGGATGAGGTCTGATGAACCCCAGGACAGCATTGGGTTGGCAGCATTTGTTGACTTGCCCTGGGGCTCTTTGTTCATTTGCCCATTGCTTTCTCCCACGAACACCGGCCTTACTCTGGGCTGGGCACCTGGCAGGCAGGCCCTGGGAACACAGCAGTTACGGGGCATAGTGTCCACCCTCGGGAAGCTTGCCGCCCAGCAGCTCAGCTGCAGGTCAGGGCCTCAGATCTGGCAGAGGCCGGACACAAAACCACATTCGTCACTGAACCACCACGCGCAAGAATGCAAAACCAGACCAACGGCACGGGCTTGAGGAAAAGGCCATCTGTGGCCCAACAAAGCTGGGTGATCTTGTATCTCAACCACCTGGGCTCATAGGAAAGCATCGGGATCTTTCCATAAGGATAGCTCAGCCAAGCCTAGCGTTCCGTCCAGGCTCCGTCTGATCGTCACAGCGGAGGCTTTGAGGAGGCTTCCCTTCTCCAAGGGGATTCTGTCCGGAGACAGGCACGTGTTGTGATGTCAGGACCCTCACCAGGCCCTTGAGCTGGGTTTGAGGGAGACGAAGAGGTTTTGTCTGTTCATCAGCCCCAGGGGAGCAGCGCGTGCTTGGTGCACTCGAGCCCCCGCACCACACACACACACACACACACACACACACCTCCCGAGGTCGAGTCGACTCTGACTCATGGCGACCCCATGTGTGTCAGAGTAGAACTGTGCTCCACAGCGTTTTCAGTGGCTGATTTTTAGAAAGTAGATCGCCAGGCCTTTCTTTAGAGGTGCCTCTGGGTGGATGGGAACCTCCAACCTTTCTGTGAGGAGCCGAGCGCTTAACTGTTGCACCACTCAGGGTCTCAGTGGGCAAGAGCCTGAGTTCCGTCCGTCCCCAGCCCCACAGCGAGTCACTGTGGGGCCTCCAGCCTGCCTTTCAGCCCCTCGGAGGACCGAGTCTACCGCAGGCTCCGTGGGATCGGGGTAAATAATAAGCAGTCAGAGGAGGGCGCCACAGCATCACAGAGCCTCTCTAGGTGGGTCACGCTTGAGGAAAGCCGTCCGTGTGTGCGAGAGAGAAGTTGTTCATTTTTCACGACGGGTTTTCAGGATCTCAGAGCATTGGCGAGGGCGAGTCACTGTCCCAAACGCAGCGCTTTGCCCCTCCAAGCCCCCGAAGGAGAATTTAACAGCCCACAAGGCTTTCTTTTTGAGAAGAGGGGAGGCAGGGGGCGTGACGGGAAGTTTCCACTCTGGTCAGGCAGTGGGTTCCACTGCGTCCTGCCGGGAGGCCAGGCCACCTGTTGTCACGGGGACCCTTGCTGTGACCTCCCCCAGGGTCGCTGGGGGAGGAGGGTGCTGAGTCTGAATTTCTCCCCACATCTCCAAAGACGGGACCTCGAGGAGCTGCGTCTGTGTGAGCCCCTGGCCGAGAGGTGGAAGTGCTGTAAGAATGTGAGTGTTAGTATCTGCAGACTGCTAGCATGGAGCAAAGGAGCCCTGGTGGCGCAGTGGTTAAGCACTTGGCTGCTAACTGAAAGGGAGGCAGTTCAAACCCACCAGCCACTCCACAGGAGAAAGACCTGGCGATCTGCTCCCATAAAGATTGCAGCCTTGGAAACGCTATGGGACAGTTCTACTCTGTCCTACAAGGTCGCTATGAGTCGGAATCGACTCCGGCAGTGGGTTTGGTTCGGAAAGCACAGTGCAGCCTGGTAGCAAGTGCTGCCTAACTGTTTGTTAAATAAATAGCCGCCCGTTGCCGTGGAGTCAAGTCTGACTCACAGTGACTCTACAGGAAAGAATAGAACTGCCCCATAGGGTTTACAGGGCTGTAAATCTTTGTGGAAGCAGACTGCCACATCTTCTGCGGCTGGTGGGTTCGAACCTCTGACCTTTTGGTTAGCAGTCAAGCGCTTAACCACCGAGCCACGAGGGCTCCGCTTCACTACCAGGCTCCTTAAATAAATAACTCTACGTGGGAAAAACGTATAGGGTGCAGCAAGCCTGGAAAGGGAGTCAAAATGAGATGATCAGGAAGGAGTGAGCGTCAAGAGTCTGGAAAGAGCCAGGAGGCTGCCGGAACAGAGATGAGTTGTTCTGACAGAGCAGGCAAGAAGGGCTTCCTGGAGGAGGTGGCAGGTAGGTGGGGCCAGCAGAGTCCAGTCCGCCCGGGGCTTGTTAGTCAAGTCCTTAGGAATTCTCAGAAGGCAGGGTTAATAAGAGTCTAAAAAATGGCCGATGGGCGCTGAACCCATGCATTCTGCTGGGGGAAAAATGCCCCAAGACAGGACTGCGTGCTTTGGATATGTTCCAGAACTTTCCGAGGAGTCTCCCATCCAGCTGCAGCTCCCTAGTCTCTGCTCTGGGTACTGACATCATGCAAAGAAAGGTAACGGCTGTGGTCAAGTCCCCTGCCCACCACGTCTCAGTTATAATATCCCAGGCACGTCTTCCTCAGGAATCATTAAACCCAAGTCGCTTTTAGCAGGTTATGTCACTCACGTCTTGCCCACGCAGTTGGCCCAGGAAGAGATGCCGCTGCAGCTCACAATAGCCCTGAGTCATAGCCACTCATTTCTTCCGCAGGCCTTTCCCTCCCCCAGGGCGGCCCGCGAGTCAGCGGCACTGCTGCCCAGAGCACAGAGATTCCTACTGAGGACAGAGCTGGATGGTGCAGGGATGAGCAGCCTCGATGCGTGCTGGGCTGAGCCGGTATCACCACCTCCAGGCACGGAGGGCTGCTGGGCGCAGCTGTGTATTTATAAAAACGAACCAATTCTCCTACCTCTCATTGCTGTAATTCTGGCAGGGGGAGGGATAATTGAATTCATAAAATGAGCACTGGCTTGGGGTTAGGGGATCTAAATTTATGCATGTGTGTGTGCTGAAACATATAACAAAACCTTTGCCTTTTCAGTCATTTTTACCCATACAATTCAGTAGCATTAATTCCATTCCCCGTCTTGTGCAGCCAACACCACTATCCACTGCCTTTTTTTTTCCATCACCCTTAGCAGAAACAAAGGCGCCCTGGTGGCACAGTGGTTAACCTGCTCATCTGCTCACTTAAAGTTACGTGGTTCGAACCTACCAGCCGCTCCAAAGGAGAAAGAGGTGGCAGGCAATCTTGCAGCCTTGGAAACCCCATAGGGCAGTTCTGCTCTGTCCTGCAGGATCGAGATGAGTGGGAATCGACTCGACGGCAGTGGGTTTTTGTTTAACAGAAACTCGATACCCCTGTTATGGATTGAACTGTGTCCCCCAAAAATGTGTATCAACTTGGCTAGGCCATGATTCCCAGTACTGTGTGGTTGTCCACCATTTTGTGATCTGATGTGATTTTCCTAGGTGTTGTAAATCCTACTTCTGTGATGTTAATGAGGCAGGATTGGAGGCAATTATGTTAATGGACAACTCAATCTACAGGATTAGGTTGTATCTTGAGTCAGTCTTTTCTGAGATAAAAGAGAGAAGGGAGCAGAGAGGTGTGGGACCTCATACCACAAAGAAAGAAGTGCTGGGAGTGGAGAGTGTCCTTTGGACCTGGAGTCCCTGCACTGAGAAGCTCCTAGACCAGGGAAGCTTGATGACAAGGAGCTTCCTCCAGAGCCAACAGAGACAGAAAGCCTTCCTCTGGAGCTGGCGCCCTGAATTCATACTTCTAGCCTCCTAAATTGTGAGAGAATAAATTTCTGTGTGTTAAAGCCATCCACTTGTGGGATTTCTGTTATAACAGCGCTAGATAACTAAGCCCCTTAAGCAATACCTCCCTATTTCCCTCTCCCACTTACATAAATAAACTTTAGTCTCTATGCATTTGCCTATTCTAGATAGTTCACGGAAGTGGGATCTTACACTACTTGCCCTTTTGAGGCTGACTTCTTTCACTCAGGATAATATTTTCGGGATTCATCCACGTGGTGGCATGTGTCAGGACTCCATTCTCTTTATGGCTGAGTACTATTCCATTGTATGCATGCACCAGGTCGTGTTTATCCATTCACCTGCTGATGGCACTTGGGTGGTTTCCACCTCTTGGCTACTGTGAAGAGGGCTGCAATGAACATCTGTGTATAAGTCTCTGTTTGTGTCCCTGCTTTAAGCCTTTTGGGATAGGCCCAGGAGTGGAATTGCTGGGGCATGTGATAATTCTGTTTAACTTTTTGAGGAACCTCCAAACGGTTTTCCACAGTGGCTGCACCATTTCACAATCCCGGCAGCAACGGATGAGGGTTCCAGTTTCCCCACACCCTCGCCCACACCTGCTGTTTTCCGTTTTTCTGACCGCAGCCATCCTGGTGGGGTAAGGCGGTGTCTCATTGTGTTTGGATCTGCGTGGGGTACCTAGATTGAAGGCTGAGTCTAGCCTCCTGCTTGTGACCCGCGGTGAAGCATGCCCTCTCTCCGGGCCTCAGCGTTCTCATCTGTGGAATGGGGTGATAACATTGGCCCCCCAGGTGTTCTGTGGGTGCAGGCCAGGCCCTCGGTCAGAGCTAGAACAGGCATTTTCAACTGGGGCGATTCAGCAGTAGCATTTGGAGACATTTTTGTCACAACTGGGGGCGCTACTGGCATCTAGTGGGTAGAGGCCAGGGATGCTGCCCGCCACCGCAGAGCAGGATCTGGCCCCAAATGTCAGCAGTGCTGCGGTTGCTATCCCTGTCCTTGAGCGCTGTACAAGGAGACACCATCACTAGAATGATGGCTGGAATGTGCTCACTGTGGCCAGGCACTGAGCCGAGAGCTTGGTCTTCACGGCCCAGCCAGGAGTGAGGCCGTTCATGTCTCAGTCTACAGAGGAAGAAACTGAGGCACGCGGAGGCCGCACAGTTAGCTGACGGGGAGCCGGGTTCTTGTTTGAGTTCGTGACCTCGATCAGCAGGCTGCGCACGTGCGTAATTCAGAACGCCTCATTCTGTTCCCCTTTGTTTGTAGAGTTGGGTTCCTTCTTTTCATTCAGTTGCAGATGGCTGGGGTAAGCGCTCAGACTGGTGCCCCCGGGCAGAGCAGAGGGCAAACTGTTCTCTCTGTGTGGGCGATGCCCAGCAACGCGAAATACGCCTCGAAGATAAAATACTATCGGGAAGGGCTCCTCTGTTCAGCCTCTTACACGGTAGTCAAGGAGCCTGGATGGCATTAGTGGTTTGTGATTGGCTACTAACATAAAGGTCAGCAGTTTGAACCTACCCCGTGGTGCTGCGGAAGCAAGGCCTGGAAAACTGCTTCTGTAAAGATGACGGCTGGGAAAACCCTAGGGAGCAGTTCTGCTCTGTAACACATGCGGTCGCCATGAGTCAGGAGTGGACTCAGCAGCAGCTAACAACATCAGCAAGGTAGCCACTCTCCAAAGGCTGCTTCTGCCTCTGCCCCCAGCAGCCTTGACACTTCACCCCTGTATTCCTGGTGACGGCTGAAATGTCAGCAAAGATGCAAGTGTCTGACAATGTGTGACATCACAGATGACACTAAAGGGCAGCGCGGTGGCAAAAGAGGGACAGCAGGGAGCCAAGAACTTTCCGTAATAATAACAGACTGTTTTGGGTAATCAATGGCTTTTTACTAATTCGGGAGCAGGGACTTGATCCTCCCGATGAAATCACCGAGTTAAAAAGCAGAAAATGCAAAGTGAATGCAACAGTTCATCTACGTGGCCCGTTTATAAACAATTAGTGACTCAGAGACTCCCAACAATATGGTCCATATAAGACAAACTGGGCAGGAACCGCTAAAGTGAAATCACCCACAAAAGAAAGAGGGATCCTTTAAAGTCGTCCTAATCTTGGGTGATGTCACAACTTAGAAGAACTCTGTTCCCCCCTCACCAATTTTTGGGGGGCTGTTGGAGTCTCTTGGTGGTACAAATAGTTAAAGCACTCAGCTGTTAAATGAAAGATTGGAGGTTTGAGCCCACCCAGACGTGCCTCAGAAGAAAGGCCTGGTGATCTCCTTCCGGATAATCAGCCATTGAAAACCCGATGGAGCGCAGTTCTCCTCTGGCATACACGGGGTTGCCATAAGTTGGAATTGACTCCTCAGCAACCGGATGGTTTGGTTTGGTTTGGTTTGGTTGGTTGGTTGTTTTTGGTAATGTCTTTGGAGTCCCTGGGCGGTGCCATCTGTTAACTTGCTCGGCTGCTAACTGAAAGTTTGGAGGTTTGAGTCCATGCATAGGTGCCTCAGAAGAAAGGCCTGGTGATCTACTTCCAAAAACTCAGCCACTGAACACCTGATGGAGCACAGGTCTACCCTGACACAGGTGGAGTCACCAGGAGTCAGAGTCGACCTGATGGCAATCGACGATGTTGTTTTTACTTTTTGTTGGTCGCCAAAATCCCGGAGCCCAAGAACCCCTGGCCCGGGCCATAAGTGGTCTGGGGGTGGATTGATCTGTCCTGGCCCATCCTTCAGCTTCCTGCTCTGTCCAGAAGACACTGCATTTCCTGGGCACTCGCTGGAGCGTCTTTACACGGGCCACCTAGGAAGGCCAGGCGACGGGGGGGGAGGAAGCAGAATAAAATAAAATTTCAATATGTGGCGAGACAGGTGATGTCTTTCAGGCAAGTAGATGCCTTGAGTCCAGCTAAGGCATGTGGCTGTGTGCCGTGAAGTCCGTTCCAACTCATAGTGATTCTATAGGGGAGGGTAGAACTGCCCCGTGGGGTTCCCAAGGCTGTAATCTTTACAAAAGCAGACTGCCACGTCTTTCTCCCACAGAGCAGCCGGGGGGTTCAAACTGCCAGTCTTTCAGTTAGCTGCCAAGTGCTGTAACCATTGTACCACCAGCGCTCCGGCATAAGCCACAGAAACACGAGGTTAAAACTCCACTTCTTCAGCCAAGCCGTAGGGGGCGCTGTCCCGGGAGGATTAGGGAGCCACCTGTCCTGGAGACTGTCCCCCACCCAGCAGCCCCCAAAGGGCTCC